GAGGGAAAACAACATGAAAAATAGGTTGAGGCTGAGACACATAAGAAAGAAATTCTGAATTATGTCCACAACAAAGCTGCACGTGTAGCTGTGGCATGTATGATCATTACACAGCTCAGCAAAAGGATCCTAAAATCTTAGGGAAAATCAGTTACCTGCACGATCCCTTCACTGCATGGATTAAAAAGAGGAAGAACCAGGATTAAACAAGGTTTTGCCTAGGCTGGTTTGCAAAGAAAGTCTAACAGTGTCACACAGCAGCAACAACAGTGGTGCATAAAACGTTTGACAGCCAACTCTGAATTTACAACCCATTGTTAGGAGATTTTTCACTCATAATCAACACAAAGTCAGCACGGACGCAGAACACATCTGCAGGCCCTGGGAACTCACCCACGCTAACACAGCTCACACAAAGCCAGGGTCCGTCTCAAAGCACTCCCTAAGCACTCGGACACGTGGCAGGTGGATAAATAAGATTCCCCCATTTTACAGGCAGTGAAACTTCACCATGGCTTGCACTAAAGCCCAGGCAGTAAACTGGCTGCTGAGCCACAAATCCTAAGTGCCGGGTCCTGCTGCTGGGGTGTGGGGTCTCCAGCAGCCTGCTGGGAGAGCTGCCCTTCCCTGGGAGCCGTCAGGAGCAAGCCATGGCTGCAGGACATGCCACCCCAGCTGGGAGAAGCTTTGTGCTTCTGGTCTGGAGAGCTGGGTCCCACCAACACACGGCAGCCACCAGCTCACTCCCCTTTACCAGGGGCTAAATACAGACTGGCACTGTTGAACTGTGAGCTAAAGATCTCAGTGCTACAGGTCCAGACTATATAAAACAATGTTTAAGGAAGTCAGGCCAGAAAACTCACTTTTAAGAGAAAGTAAAGCACCCGGATTATTGCTCAGTCCTCTGCTATCAGCACGTGCCACCGCCTTCCACAATCAGAGTCAACATTTACAGAGCAGCGTTTTCAACATCACAGCTTCAGTTCACAGACACAAACCTTCACACCTAGAGTTTACTGTAACTTTTGCTCTCACTTCTGGTGATTTCTAGCTCCAGATCTGAGCAGTTTTTGGCATCAGCACCATTCTGAAACAGGGAATGCCTGTGCTATAGGATATTCTACAAGCTGCTGTAAAGGCAGGAGGGAAGCTGGGGGAGGAAGAGCCTGAATTCATCATTCAACCCTACCAGTCACCCTTTAAAGGAAGCATACAATAAAACCTATGTGTCTGAGGGAACCCACTAGCGAGTGAAAAAATCCAGCAAACCAACCCATCTGCTAAAACAAGTCCCCTCCCAAAATTTCTGCTGTTCCAAGCAAATAATTTGCATATGTTTAAGAGGAGATTTTAAAAAAAACACCAAAAAAAGGTGGAATTTTTCCCCTGTGAAAAAAAACAGGCATTTGGAGTCTTTTATGTATAAATTCAAGCCATCCCAGGAAATCACACATTCCTTGATGCAAAATGAAACGAGAAATTTCCTTTTTTCCCCGCTATCGTTGCTTCCTGCCTGTCTCCATCTGAAGGACCACATCGAGGACAACCCAAATTACTTTTTGTTGCTGCATAAGGCAAAGAGACATCCCCAGCCTGAGGCTCACAGACAGAAGACATCTCTACCCTTCCTTGTTCACTTGCTGCTCATCTCCCTCCCGCTGCAGCACTGCGCTCATAAAAGCTGCTGCTTGCACAGTCCCACCCTCGCCCCCAGTAACCACCTTGGCATTTTAAGCAAATCTAACATCTGTGCCCAAACACACCCAAACGATTTCAGAGAGCAGCAGTTTCTGAGGCAGCCTCGCACTGATGGAACCTTTCAGACCCAGCACTCTTTCAATGACACCAAGCCTTGCAGGTCCCCTTTGTGGCTTATTCAACAAAGTTACCAATCCCCTGTCTCATTTTGAGTTTCTTTCTTTTCGACACCAGGCCTAAAGGGGAGAAGGCCTCCACCCATTTCTGTGAGTCTGAGACCAGGCTGAATACACTGCAGAAGAAAACAACATTTCTGCCCTTTTCTGCTGTGCAGAAAGCAAACAGGAATGGTGCTCCCGTCCCTCACCCTTCCTCCCCTTGAGCCCAGCACACATCAACACCGATTCAATTTTCAGCACTAAAAGCTCAGTAAAGGCAGCTTTTTCCTCAAAATGTGAGGTGGTAACCACAAAGGATGTAGCACACCCTCTGCTCTGAAGATGAGCAGTGAGGGATAATGAAGTCCATGCCTCATCCATCCCAGTTCCCACTAACCCAAGGCAGCTGAAAGGTGTAAGAGCTCTTACAGATTAATAATTTAACGATTATATATAACAGAACAGCATCATCTGACAGAGACAGCATTATAAACTATGTCAGGGCTTGCAATAATTACTTTCCCCCCCCCTTTCTCTGTAGCCAATAAAATGGCTAAGAGGGAATAAACCCATTCCTTATCACCAACAGCAGAGGCTCTGTGGACCCTCTCGCCGTCTCCTGGAGCACTGAATGCCAGATCCAAGCCGGATACTTCAGGAGCCTGATAGCAAGACATGGGGAAATTGCTAATAAGGCTCCAATTCTGGTTCACAAGGAGCAAGGGAAGTGGTGTTAGGGACTGGGTATGTATGTCATGCACAGGGCAAAAGCCAGGCACTGCCTTCAAATGAGTCCAGCACGGTAGGCAGAAGGCGAAGGAGACAGTAAAATACAGTTTAAATTTTATTTCTGGATGGCTGCCTATCTTCTAGACAGCCAAGAGCCAGCCTCAAGAGAGACTGTTTGCACAGTTACTGAACTTAGCAAGCACTAAAAAGCTCACAAGAAAACCCTTCTCTGGGAGATTTTCAAACTAGAAGTGCTGGATACGCTTACAGAAACTTTCAGCATAAAGCACAGACCAATTTTGGATCAATTTTCATCCTTCCCTTTGATCTGTTTCCCCTGCTTTTACTGACCACTCCGATGCCACTCGACTGCTCGTCCAGCAGAGAATTTCAGCACTTCAGCACTGCTTCACCAGCTTCCATTTCCCTCTGCAAGTCATTCACACCAGACCCTTCATCCAGTAATATGAGAACACTAACTAAAACAGGAAGGTATTGTTTGGGTTGTGATTCTTCTATAGGAAATGGAAACTGATACATATGGAAAGGTGCAAGAGGAACCTGGAAATCACACACATGCACACAAAAAACCAAACTAAAAATCCCCCTTAAGACCAAGAAAGTACTCAACACATTTCAGAATATAGAAGGAACCCATAGGCAACACTGCTTGCATTGTGAAGGGATGTTTCAAGGGAACCTGTAGTGTTTCCAAAACCTGCACTATTTCCGGAGGGAAATCATAGCTCCATTAAGAAGACAAAAGAAAAGTCAGACCTGCAAGTCAGTCATTTCATGCATCGTCACAGGAAAATAAGCTGGAATAAGCAGTACATGAACTACCTTTTTGTGAACCTTCTAGGAAAATCCAGCTTTGTGGTACATGGCTGGCTGGGACACAGCACAGCCCAGCTGTGTGAGGGATTAAGCAAGAAGGAACAGGACTTCTACAAATCCACACTGTGATTATCTTCACACAGAATTTATAGACTGGGCTTTTAAGAGGGCTCAGCACTCAGCAGCTGCCTTTGGGGCACCAATCTGAATGGAGCTACTGGGTACAAAGCATTCTCAAAAATCCATTTAGATATTTAAATGGTGACCAGGTTGTTCTGAAAATCTGGTTACAGCGGATAGTTAAGTTCACTTACAAA